TTAAACTTAAAAACTGGTGTTTACAGCAGCGTCATGGACCTCCTGTCTTACTTTTTCCTTTCCCTTTCTTTCTCTTTTCTTCCCCAGACATCGTGTCAGAGTGAGAGCACAGACCACAGCTGCTGCTAATGTCACGCTGGTACTGACTGTTCAGTACTAGCCTGTTCACTAAATCCCATTAATCATTAAAAAAGAATATGGGAAAAAGTACAACAGCAGGAAAAATTTAAAACTAGTTTATTAAAAAGTTCTACTGTGGCTATTTTGTTCCTTATAGTGATCAGGACTATATTCACATGCACGCAGTGACCAGGCAGCTGGCCACAGTCCAGTCAAGGTCTTATTCGGGTTAAGATGTTTACATGAACCTTTGACATCGTGCACTCGACTGCCATTGCCTTGAAGAAACCAGTTAGCAAAATGTTCCCGTCCTCCTTCAGGCTGTCTCATCGTGCCATAAGTTTAGTGTGTGACGGCTCATGGAGAACTATACATGTGTGTAAATTTAGCCACTTTTATATAGTAAACACAAGAGAAGAGGCATTAATCCAACTGAAACTTTGAATTTACTTGGACACATGGAACTACTGTTCTTTCCTAAAATGGTAGAAAATGCCCTAGAGTAAGCAGAATTCGTCTCAGTGTGTACTGAAACTAATAAAAAATCCCTCAATTTTATTGCTTATTTGGGGCCTTTTGTACCATTTTAGGGGGAAAATTTTGTCAAATGTGGCCAAAGACTAAACACAGTATGATAAGAAATTGGCTGTATCTCAGAAACTACAAGGAACACAAACAACTATTTGAAGTCATAATGAGTTAAATGTCAACGAAATGCACACATTTCATATGGAAAACATTTAATTAACATAATTTTAGAGTTTTTCCTTTTTAAAAAAAAATATCCTGATTTTGACCATGGATCAAGTGTGATTATTCCATTTATCTCAAAATGTATAAAAAAAAAGTTGTAGTGTTAGATACTTGTCAGTACCAATTTTCAAGACTTTAGACCAGTCAGAACAAATGTTATGGCATCTTTCCATATCATACTAAATATAGTCTTTGGGTGCTGTTTCATCTATACGAACCTTTTTAAGTCCTTGACCAACACTTTAAAGCAGCTATAAAAGATTTTTTTACAATAAAAATGCATCAAATGACGATGTGAAGACGATGTGACAATGTGAAAAGGGTCGCTCGTAGTAAAGAAGCAGAGAATTAACACTTGAATCTGCAGCTCTCCTCAGCTTTACAGAGCTTTATAGTGAATTTCAGCTCATTGTTTAGCTGTCAAGCTTCAACTTTACTGCTTTGGTTTACTTTCACTGCTCTCAATGAGTTGTTTTGCTGACAGGTTCACCATATCAGTTTAAAAGGACACAATATGTCAGTATTGTGTTCACAACTTGTTTTTTCTGCCCCAAGGAGCAATAAAATCATTTACTGTGGGTTTAAAGTTTACCTGCTGGTTGCTAACTTTAGTAATTGAAACACTTTAAATCTTCATTAATGGTCCAGTGTGTAACATTTAGGAGGATCTCTTGGCAGAAATGGAATATAATATTCATAGGTATGTTTTCAGTAGTGTATTATCACTTGATTATAGGAATTATTGTTTGTTCCCTTAAAATGAGCCGTTTTTATCTACACATGTCTGATGACATTTGTACATTTTTGGCTCTGATTGGTTGTTTTCGTTCAGGCCCAGCGGATTCTTTCAAATGTCATTAGGAGCAATAGGAGGATCCAAGGGAACATGATTTTTTCATAGATTATCTGGCACATATAATATATGGGATATAAAGTTTAAGCAAATATGACAAAAATATGTTTATCTACTGCAGCTGTAGAAAGAAATTAACAAGGAAGTAAAAGTGCTTCCATGTATCCATTTATTTATCAGAGACCTAGCTTTAAGAAGATTTTAAATTTTTTAAATTGGTCCTGGGAATGAGTTCAGCTTCGATTTTATACCGATCCAGAGACCAAGCAGTCCTTTCCAAAGCTGTGGTGTTCCGGGAAGTTTTATAAGAAGACTCATTGTGCCAATTAACCAAACCCTGCGCTTTGGTGAGTCGGCTTTTGAGTACAAATCAACACAAGACTTACTGCTGATTATTCCACTGAGCAATTTGAGCAACAATGATGACTCTTTTTGTGGTTTGTCTTGTTGTAAATGCATTATGGAGTTCTTGTGGTCTCCCATAAGACACCCGTTAAAAACAGCCAATGGCTGACGTCTATGGGGTTTTAGAAACAATGGTCTCTGGTTGTAGGAAGAACTAAATCACCGCAGTAGCACAGGAGAACTTCTATACATGGAACAGAATACAACTGGCACAGCAGCAAGCCACTGTCATAATGGATTTATGGCTTGGCATATTAGTAGTGTATTTTATTATAATATCATTGCCACAGCTATTAAATGACCTCCATAGTGACACAAACAATGTTGTTGCCAAAGGGGATGTGTGGACAAAGACACATTTTCCTCTCAAATCATCAGCTAATAAAAACCCTATCCAAGTACTGTATGTTAGTAACACTGTGAGAATCAGGTACCTCATCAGGGAAGGAGCAATTTTCCAAGGCCTTGAATATGTTGGCTAACAAGCACTGAAAAATTATTGTCACTTTTTGTTTAATAAGAGCTGGCACACACATTCGGATAAAGGCTCAAGGCCACTTAGGAAAGCCAACAGCTGACAAGGTGGACCCTTACAGCTAAAAATACAAGAGGTCACACTCAATGGGTTTGCTTGTCATGCATACAAAGAACATTGAGAATGATAACATATTTGTTATGGCAAGTTGGAAGTGCTTTTCACTGTAACTCACCAAAATTCAAGGTACGCTGGAATTGGCAAGGGACGGTAATTGTTTCAGGTCTGATTAAAAGTACAATACTGGAAGTCGTGAGCTAAACGTTGTCCTCTTAAAGCAATTCTAGGTAATGTGATCCAATAATTTTTTTTTTCAAATTTTGAGAAAATCTCTTCCCATGTGTGCACTGAAAATATTTGGACACAGCCCTGGCTCTGTAAATGGAAAAACAAAAAAAGTGGATCAGGCCGAGCCACACAACACTAACTTGTTATTGCAGCTAGGATCTGTGTGTCAGGTAACGTTAACTGCCCACAGACACTCAGCTTACGAGTTTGTCAAGACCTGCTGTTGTTGTGATGTTAACTATAGTAGCAGGAGAGTGGTGAGTACCGCAGTCTCGTCCTCTGCATGATAGCTACACAGTAACAACTGTAGTGTAGGAAATCAGCCATTATCCTCTCACCACTGCCTGCCGGAGCTTCACCACACCATCTCTTCAGCCACCAACAAGTTTTAAAATAAAGCCTTGTTTTGGTTATCATACTCAACCGAGAGTGTGTTCTGCTTGTGGGTTCCTCTGTTTAACATAACAATCATGGCATTTGTCATGGGATTGGATTCATCCAGAATCACGTTCCCCCACAATAAGGGAATAAAATTTTGAGTGCCAGGGGATTGATGAGTAACTAACAGCTACTGAAAAATAAATTATGATTAGTAACTCCTTATCAAATTTGATAGTAAGCAGCCAATGTCATTTTTATAAAATTTTACTTTTTCTCATATTTGCTGAAGCTATATCCTGACAGTAGTGCATGAAACAGTTCATCTGTGAAAAAAACTGGTTCCTCTGGCTCGTTCTAGTGCTGCTAATGGTATGTAAGAATCCACCGGGCCTGAATTAAAAAACAACCAATCACATCCACGAAAGACGGTTGATGATGGTCTCATTCCCAGGCCAGCAAATACAGATGCTTTGGGATCCTGGGAATGAGCCACTCAACAATCGGAGACAATCAACTCTCAAGCTTGCAACTAAAAGTGTCTATCTGTCTTTCTCTGCTCTGATTGGTTGTTTTCTAGGGGGAGCCAGAAGAACCAGATTTATTTCACAGATTCTCTGTTTCATGTACTAGTGTCAGAACACAGTGAACATTTCAGCAATAATAACAAAAAGTAATTTATATAAACATTACCTACTGTTGCTTTAATTTAGTAACAAGTGTGGAACAAATCAAGAACAACTCGATTATGGAATTGAACTGCTTTTGTTATTTCTGAATCGCTCCGCACTCACTTTTTAATTAACTAATCATTAGCTACGTCATAAAATTTGATTAGGAGTTACTCATTAACTAATGGTTCACTAGCAGTCTGTTCCTCATTTGTTCTCTGGTAACTACTCAAAACGTTGTGTCCCTTATTGTAACATGTGACCGTTATTAATTTGACATATTTTTTATATTTTACTATTTTCATCCAGTGAACACATTTTAAATTTTGTTGACAAGTTATACGACTTCCATGTGTTGTTCTCGGGTGCCGCTGGAAAGACACAGTGCTTAGAAGGGTGCATACATACATTGCATGTACATTCATACACCTGTCAGTCCCAGTGATCACACCTGAATTTCTCGTCTGGCCATCAATTAAAGAAAAAATCCACCAAGACGACATTCTGTCACAGTGAACTTTTCTTTCCATCCTGAGGGGTTACAGGCGCACTTAAAAACCGGTTTGTGCAATTGTCATGTTAAAGATATCTCCTTTACATGCAAAGTAGATGGTTGTTTTTAAAACCTCTTATTTGAGACAATTTTTTATCACTTTTGAACCTTTTTTCAGTTACATGCACCTTAATGAGAAAATACCAAGTTAAAATGATAAACATGTATCCTCTGCATGTTGTAGTATTGGATATAAATTTCCTCTTGTGCCTGTGAGAAAATAAGATCAGCCTTTATTGATCCCCACAGGAGAAATTCAGTTGTGATCACTGGGATTGACAGACGTTCATGGAAGGAGACAGAGACGGCTATTAATTGAAGTTTTACCTGCAGTCATTAATCTATTCCTGTTTATCTATATTGACAATCTCTTATCGCAAAATGAAAATACCGGAGAAAAGGAAAAGTATTATTGTTTTATCATAATAAATCGGCTTGTCTTACCATACTGAAGGATAGGTAGAGAAGCAGGGAGATGAAGCTTTGCAGATGGAGGTTGGTGTTGAACCTTTGTGGATGATTCCGCTCTCTGCAGATCTACCTGTCTTCCTGTGTCTCTTGTTAAGCAGCTCCTTCTTGCCCATGCCCCTGAAGACTGACGTGTAATACATTCTCAAGAAGTTTTGTGTCCCCAAACTGGCTTGGTTTGTTACACAGAACAAACTGTAAAAAGCGTCACTGGAGATTGGAAAAGGGCAGGCACTTTCAAAAAAGGTAATCCATCTGTGTATCACGGGCAAAAACCTTAAAGTTCTAAAATAACAATATTTAAGAACATAGGTACTTCCTGGTCACTTCATGTTTGAAAAAGGATGCTTTCATCATCTATTCCTGATATATCATTTCTAAAAGCAAATCAATATGTCAAATGGTGTCCCATTACATTTATAAAGTCAGATCTGCAGCTATGATTTCTACTCAAATAAACCTTTATTGATCCCCGGGGGGATAAATATATAATAAGAGTCTGAATGTGCATTATCAAATGAGTACTGATAATGTTAATGCTGAGAGCTGAATCCTTAAAACATTGCAGTAGTGACAGAGCAAACCAGAGTACTGCACATTGATCAGAGTATTGCACATTAACCATAACAATTGTTACTGGGTGAGCGATCTAATGGACGTGAGCATCAAAGTTTGGCTGAGCAGGTTCACCGCTCTCTCCTCTGTTTTTGAAAACTTATTTGTGGCAAGAGAAGAAGAAAAGTATTATTACTTTATCATAATGATTATTGTTATATTAAAGTGGCCCAAACCAGAAGTGATTTCTGCTGTGAAAAAATATATTTAAAAAATCGGGTTTGGGCCTCTTTTGCCTGCAGTGTGAATGTAGCCTTAGTATACTCACTTCTCCAAGCTCCACTACACCACTGAATGTTGCATCATAGTCCGAGATTATATTATTTATTATCTTGCAGGCAGCTGATCATTACTTATCAGAAAATGTGGGATTTCTTCTTCTTTGAATCAGTTCTAACAGGCTTTGACCAAACAGCTCATATGTTAGCACTAGTTTAGAAAGCATTTTGCTTCAGGCTATAGCTTGGCCTGTCTGCTGTCTGTATGATGTGCAGCTATTCGCCTATCCCCATTGGTTAAATTAAATCGTGGCAAAATTGACCAATATAAGTCTGACGGGGCAAAATATATGAGTGGTCAGATGTCGGACGTTTTTAACAAACAAAGTTACCCAGACTTTTTGGAAAAAAACAAAAACAAAGATGAACAATGAAATTATTACCTAAACTGTCTTCTGTGGGCCCACAACCTGCGAGGTGATAAGCTTAGCAGCTACTGTAAGGTTTGTTCTGTAAGACAGTTATCAGTGGGAAAGCACCAAACTCAACTGTCCTTGAAGGTTACAGCAGAATCTGTAATTCTTTTGACAGCAAAAGGAAAAACAATCAACCAGCCAGACGCCTGTTACTCTGGAAGTAGAGCGGCTTCATCCATTGCATGTCGAGGTGTCCTTGAGCAAGATCCTGAACCCTAAATTGCTCCGGATCAGTGTATGAATGTGTGTAAATGAGTTTCTGTTTGTGATGGTCTTCAGCATCACTGTATGAATATGGGTGAATGTGGCATGTAGTGTAAAAGCGCTTTGAGTGGTTGGTACTATCTCTGGGATTCAAGCGTTTTAATCAGTGCAAACCTCTGAAATGGAAAAATTATGATTATGAGTGACTGAGGCGTAAAGAAGTGTTATTTCATTATAACAAGACTATCACAGAATCACTATCAGAAAGAAAACTGAAAGCACTGCTGCAATATTTAGTAAAAAAAAAAAACTGAAATTACCTTTTTATTTGTAAAATAGTTAGCTCGCTAATGCTAGCTTGGCTGGCTCCCTCGACTGTGTGACCCTAGTGTTGAAGGTGCTGGTTCGTCTTTGACCTACTGTACTTCCTGTATTTGTGTGCACACAGTTTATCATGTGCAATGACAGATTATTACAGACGTTGAAGTACGCTGCAGGGCTTAACAACCTGTCTGACTGCTGGTGCTAGTGGCCCCGTCAGACTACTTTGGATATGTCGCCGTGTTCCCAGGTCTCAGCTCTTACTTTGGTAAGTATAATGTCATCGTAACCAATAGAAATGTTGTCCAAAACTACAAAAATGACACCCAACTGTAATGAACTGGAGTTATCTCATAATAAATTACATTTTTACGGTCATCCTAAACCAAAGTGTTTTTCTCCCTTATGCTTCTTTCATACATAAATTGTTATCTTTTTTAGAATAGTTCATATTATTGTACAGTTACCATTGTCCTGCCACCTAATATAACACATTCAACACATTCTCACTCCCAGCTAGTCAAATACTGATACTGGGTACATACATGGGTTCAAGTTTGGTGTTTGTTCGAGCCTTCCCTACACCTCTATATGCGGGCTCTCTCGCTCTTTGCCAAAATTCAAAAGCAGGTGGGTCCAGAAATGACACTAGTGGGATGCCTACAGTGTCATATTTTAAAGGCGACTAACCAAGTGGCAGTATTTGACAACTTGAAAGCGAGACCGGGTTTATTGATTTCTTTATTTAAATTTAAGTAGGCTTTCTAAACTTTTTTAACACATGTTTTTGTAATGAGAGACTACAGATATAAAGTCAAACTCAACTTGATGACACTAAATTGAACTCATCTTATGCTTGCTGCCAGTAAACTGGTTTCCCAGGATGTTCGGTCCAAAAAAGATGCTCCAAAAATGTTTTAGATTAATGTCTTTGATTCTAAGGTCAACAGAATCCCTTGTGGCAAAATGAGCTTTTGTCTTTATTATATCTGGAGTGGGAAATTAATCATTACCTGACAAAATAAGGCAAAGCACTTGAGCATATGTCCTTTTCTGTGGGAGTGACTTTGCTGAGAAAAAGGAAGTGCCTCCCAATTGTCATGTAGTTCTTGACGTCACATCATCTCTGTGACCGAATTACATATTAATCACTGTTTTTTTTTAATACAGCATTGCCTGAGTGAATTGCACATTCACTCACACTCACTCTTAGTCCTCACACTTTCTCCACATGTAGACTAAACCAGCGTGCAGTGACACACACAGTGATCCAGGCCAGACAGAAGCAGCAGGTCACAGATGACGCCAAAGGCCTTCCAGTAATGTTTTCACACAGGGGACTTACTCCTCTCACAGATTGCTTTGTTTCTACGTTTTTCCACTGCTGCTGTTGGAAAGCGGGGGCCAAAATTGTTGCCAACTCAAATACTACTCACTGTCCAGGACATGTTCTGCAGAACACAACGCAGATGGAAATTTTTGTCCAAAACTTAATGATGCCAACTCTGGAAGGGAAGTGCTGTTGTTACTTTTGACGTTTGTCTCATGATATTGTATGTAAAGCTTCACATCAGAATAGAACAGATTCCTAATATTATGTAGGTGTATATGATTTTTAATGCACTCATAAAATATGACAGATTGTGCAGTTCAACAAACACCCTGTAAGGGTTGATGTTACCCACTTCCACATAGCACTGTGAATGCAGCGTAGTGTTGACTGGAATAAGTTAGTAGTAGCATCATATCTGGACGCACAGGGGTCTGCGGTCAAGTTAGCAGCAATAAATATGCAACATCTGGTTAGACTTTCAAAATAAAGCTTGTGTGGTGGTTGTGAAATAGTCGCACTTGGGTTATGTTTACACACTACGTCCTTAGGATTAGCCACAAAAACTACTTGGGTATAGGAAAAGTTGTGTTATGTTGCTTACCTAACGTAACTTAAGTAAGTTTCGTCAATTAAAATTACATACGGGACACAAACAGCGGTCTCCTGGGTTCAAGTCCTGTGTTTGTTTAAGCCAACCATCCACCCACCACCTCTATATGTGGACTCTCACTTTTTATATTACGTCACCTGATTTCATTTGGGAATGTCTCCTAAAGTCCAGGGTGCTTCCCATTGAAAAGCTTAGGGAAGCAGCTGTGCGCCATACTTTAACGGAGGTGGAGATGTTACCATTTGTGTGGACAATAAATAACCCAAAGCTGAGATATATGCTTCATTGGAAGTGTGTGTTCAGTATGTTTCGGTTTTACAACAGAAGAGGCTTTAAGGATGAGGACAGCACCCAGAGCGATAACGTAATGTGCAGCAGAATATACATTAGGTAGATTCTGCTGGTTGCCTTCCATGTGATTTCCAGAGTCATAAAGCCCACTGAGCTTTAATCATTTCCCAACGCCATGACTGCACTCTTGGCCACAGCTGTCTGAAGGAAACCAAGTCCCCATTGTGTGGACTCCAGCAGCTAATTCAAAACACATTACAGTTCTTGACTCATACATACAACTTAATTTGATTTGAATTTCCTATAATCTGTGATAACAAGGTGCTTATTGGTGAAGCCTATAACCTCAGGTTGCTCTTTTGGCATGTGAAAGCTCACCGACTGCTCTGTTGGAATAGAATTGAAATCATATTACAACTTTAATGTTTGTTTCTTATATTTTCAAAACAGTGGCTCTAACACTCCATCATAACAGGCCACTCCTTGGCAACTATATAACCAGAGGAAATCTGGCAGCATTTGTGTTCAGTATTTGCTGAGACATAAGAGTGTCATACTGAAGATCCGGTTAAATTTTCTGGCCAAAACTGGAACAACACTGAAGGAATTCCCACAATGATATCATGACAGGTATTGTCATAATAACTATAAACTATACTGTTTGACTGTCAGATCATGACGTTAATACACTCCAATGTTCATCATAAAATATCATGGAAACCACAAATGTCCCCATAATATTTATTGTGATGTCAGAATTAGATTTTGCAAGATTACTCAGGACATTGGAGCCTAAGAGTCACCAAGGACATCATAGAAGTTTCCTGTCATCACAAACACATTCTCAGTCCCAGCTCGTCAAATACTGCCACTTGGTCAGTGTCCCTCTGCCTGAAAATATTGCGCTGTAGGTACCCCTTTAGTAGTTAGTTGTAGTAGCGTCATTTCTGGATGCACAGGGCTCTGCGGTTTAGTTAGCAGCAATAAATATGCAACATCTGGTTAGACTTTTGGTCACTCTTGGGTTACGTTTACACACAAACTACT